CTCCCATTGATGGGCAATTGGGCTGCTTTCAAGTTTAGCTATTGTAAATTGTGCTACTATGAACATAGGTGCACATATATCACTATGGTATCATTCTTTTAATTCTTAAGGGAAGAATCCCAGAAAGGGAATAGCTGGATTAGATGGGACTCCCAATCATAGTTCTTTCAGGTATCTCCATACAGATTTCCACAGTCATTGTACCAGTATACACTTCCACAAGCAGTAGAGCAGGGTTGCTCTTTCCCCAGAGCCCTGCCAGCATTTGTTATTGGTTGACTTTGTGATAGCAGCCATTCTTTCTGGGGTGAGGTGGAATCTCAGCATTGTTTTCATTTGCATTTCTCAATTGGCCAATGATACTGAACTTTTTAAATGTTTATCTGCTATCTCTACTTTGAGAAATGTCTGTTTATTTCATATGCCCAATTTTGGATTCAGTCTTATAATTTGGGAGGTCTGATTTTTTGAAGTTCCTTATTCTAGATAAGAGACCTTTGTCTGAGGAACAGCTGATGAAAATTTTTCCCACATTGTGGGGTGTCTCTTCGCACTGTTGGTTGTTTCTCTTGCCATGCAGAAGCTTTTTAATAAGAAGAGATCCCACTAGTTGATTGCTTATGCTAGCTCATGGGCAACTGAGGTTTTGTTTATAACTTTTCCTACACCAATGTCTTCAAGAGTTCTACCTAACCTCTATTCCAGCCAGTTTAGTATGTCTGTTTTAATACTTCGATTTTTTAAATCCATTTTTGTCTTAGTTTAGTGCATGGTGAGAAATATAGATCCAGTTTTAATCTCTGGAAGGTTGAAACCCAATTTTTCCAGCTCCTAGATGAAAACTGAAGCCCATGGAAAAGGTGAAGAAAATCTCTGCAATAAAGGCACACCAGACCACCACAGTTGATAACTTGAAGAACCAACACCTCCCATCAGAACATGGTCTATCTTCAGGGGTAGGGCATCTGGAACCTGCAGTATAACATTGCAGAGTTCAACCCAGCAGGATGTCAGAGAGCTCAACTTGGGCCTTGCAGCCAGAACTCAGCCTGAATCTCAGAGGACAGCTGTTGGCTTGCTGAGACTAATTAACTTGGATCTGCACACTCCTGAACATGCTGTCTATTGTGTCAACAGAGGCATAACCGGAAGGAGACCTTCTATTTGTATTTTTTTATTTTCAAAGTAGTTTTTCTCTTATCTTTAATCATTTTTTAAAATTTTTTTATCTATCTTTATCTCTTCTCAAATTTTTCCTTTTTTCTTTTTCTACTTTCATTTCTTTCTCTCTCTCTCTCTCTCCCAACTTATTCTTCACTTCTCTCCCCTTTTGTTTCTATTCCTGTCCTAATTTGAATTCTTATTTTTGTTCTTTTTCTTCTCTTTTTCCTTCTCTCAATTGTCATTAGTTTTAAAAGAAAATGATTACAGTCTCTAGCCTCCCCATTGATGTTAATTTGTTCTATTCTTTGATATATATCCTTCTGTCTTCTCCTCTTCTCTTCAACAGCTTTCTAGATTTGTGTGATCTTTCTGTGTAACCTGGCCTCACTTCTAACTTTTCCCTATCCTACCTATCTATTCCTGCCTCCCCGACTCCTTCCAAGTCCCCATCCTGAAGGGTAAAGTTGATATATTGAATAGTTTATGCACTATAAACACATTTGGGGATGGTCCTCAATTTTGATTGAATTCACTTAGCTAAAAGTGATAGAGTTCCAGGTTTGGTAGCACACACCTATAATCCAAGCACTCAGGAGGCTGAGACAGGCAAGATGATCACTGTGAGTTCAAGACCAGCCCAGGCTACACAGTGAGTTCCAGGGCAGTCTGAACTATATAGTGAGACCCTGTCTCAAAAAAAGGTGATAAATTAATAACTAACACAAATTATCATTCTCAAAATGTGCTTAATTCTCTGGTTGTTGCCAATTGCATCACTTGGGCTAAGATGTTATGGTTCATTGAATCAGTTGTCACTCCTGGTATGAAAATGAGAATGTCTCAGAGTAATTAGACACCCAAAACCTAAAGATTATCTATGTCTGGAAGGTTGACATATTAACCCAGAAATTAAACAAAGGACAGTAGCAACAACAAAAATATAAATGATAGAAATGAGAAAACATTTAAACAAGGCACAAAAAAAGCCACAAACACAGACTTCCAGCTCACCAAAGGTAGACTCTGGGGAAAATGAGATGAAAAAGTCTGACAGTCAACCACCTAGACACTCTGAATGGATAGCACAGGAAGAAGCAAAACAGATAAATGAGACTCTAGAAAAATTCAATACAAATAATTCCCAGATAAAAATAGAGATGGTAGGAATAATGAAAGACATGATTAGAGACTCTAGAACAGAAACAGATTAAAAAAAAATAGATGAGCCCAGGACCATGATGGAAGACATGAATTCCCACATAGGAAAAAAATGGAAATCATAAATGCCCAATATAAGAGAGAAATGGAATCCATGAAACACATTCAAACAGATATACAGGAGATTAAAAACTCTCTTGAAAGTATTCACAGTAGAATGAGCCAATGGGAGGGCAGAATATTTGACATAGAAGGCAGGATTGTGGTTAGTGACCATGAAAAGAGAGATCTCTTAAAAATAGCAAGTGACCATGAGAAATTGATCCATCAGCTCCTAGGCAATGCAAAGAAGAATAACATAAGAAGCAGTACAAAGTACAAGTGTCAAAAAAAGAACTGTTGGGCTGGGGATTTAGCTCAGTGGTTCTGGTGACTGCCTTGCAAACGCAATGACATGAGTTCAATCTCCAGTACCAAAAAAATAAATAAAAATAAAAAAAGAACTGTTCACAGAATTAATGACAGAAAACTTCCCAAACAGGGCAAAAGAATATGACATACAGATAAGTGATGCATATAGGACTCCAAATAGCCATGATCAAAATTCTACACCTAGACAGGTAATAATCAAGATCTTGGAAACCCAATAGAAGAACAAAATACTAAAAACAGCTAGAGAAAAAAAATCACATGCAAAGGGAAGCACATCAAAATCACAGCAGACTTTTCAACACAAACCTTCAAGTCAGGCAGAGCCTGGAGTGAGGTATTTCAAGTCCTAAAAGAAAGCAACCTCCAACATAGAATGATGTATCCTGCAAAACTATCTTTCAAAATTGATGGGCAAATAAGATACTTCCAGGACAAAGAACACCTGGAAAATTTCACAAACAGCAAACCAGCACTCCAAACAATTCTAAACAATATTCTGGAAAAAGACATTGACGATCACAGCTCCATAAGGGCCAACAAAGTAAATACACTATGTAAGTCAAGAAATTAGAGAAAGATGGGGAAAAATAAAAAACAAAAGAGCCAACAATAGGAAAATATCATGGCAATGAAAAGTCAATACATGTCAAATATGCACATCAATGTTAATAGCTTCAATTCAGCAATCAAGAAAAACAGGATGGCAGAATGGATTAAGACACAAAATCCAACATTATGCTGTTTACAAGAAACCTACTTAATTCACAAAGAAATTCATGGACTGAGAGTAAAAGGATGAAAAACACTTATCTATAGACAATGGAGTGCTACTCTGCCATAAAGATGGATAAACTTGAGTCATTTGTAGGTGAGTGAATGCACATCAAGATCATAATTTTAAGTAAAATAAATTACACACACAAGTTCAAATGTCACATTGTTTCTCTTGTGTGAGAAATGCTAAGGTTAAACAAGTTGTAAAATGGAGGATAGACATTGGGAAATAGGAACAACATGGTCAAGTGGAAAGAGGAACAAGGGAGAGAGGCAATGGAATGAAAAAGGAGAAAAGAAGAGAAGAAAAATGGAAACAAAGCTTTTATAAATAAGGAATGGAAGAAGGATTGAAAGAAAGGGAGAGGAATGGAAAACAGTCAACATATATTATGTACATGTACAAATTCCCTAATATATATATAAATTAATTTTTAAAAAACAAAATAATGTTCTGGTGCTACATGCCCATGCAACAATCTGGAAAAATAGGACAACTTTCTAACTATAAATCCTAGAGATAGTTTATTTTCCCAAGCATGTTTGTGTCATTCATTGCAAGGGCCACCAATGGAACTGTTTAAAGTCCCTGAAAAATCAAAAGAATTTTAATCCTAATAGGGAGGCAAGTACAACAGCCTTGCAGCCCCTCAAGACTCCAGACTTATTCCCAGTTCCTGAGGACCCATCCTAGTCCCTCCTCAAGAGATGCAGAGACAAGTAACAAGAACCCTACATAGAAAAGGGTCATTTGAATTTTCTTGGGACTAAGACTACTCCTGTAACCACTGAAAGACATTAGGCTCCTCTTCAAAAGTAAGACTCCAGTCATTCTCTGTGTACAATTAAGTAAACTCACTATAAATAGACACTGATGGCCTATCTCATATCCCTCTTTGCTTCTACTGGCTCCTGACAGATTCAACAAGCTCCTTGCTATTAAACAGGTAGCTCAATTGTTCTCCATATATTATACTAACTCCTCTCTCAGCCATAAAAGAGGATAAACTTGAAACATTCTATGTACATGGATGCACCGTGAGACAATACTCTTAAGTGAAATAAATAGGACTCATGTATGCAAATATTGTCTCTCTCTAGAGTGAAAAACAAAGTGCAAATAAGGACCACAATGTATGATGGATATTGTGAAACAGGAGGAAATTGTGCAAAATAATAACAAATGTCAGACTCTTAATAATTAAAACATCTTATAAAAAATGTAAAACTTACAAACTTCATTTTTGATCTCATTAAATTCTCTAGTTTGCCTCTTAATGTGCATAAATAAATCACATATTTTCAGAAGATATATTTATTTCTTATTTCAAATGATACTTATTACATAATATTATAAACATTTCATTAAAATTTCACTACTAAAGTCACAGCAATGTTTCTCATTCTCAGTTAAAATTGTTGATAAAATTGCTGAGAAATGTTTCATCTGATCAGAGCTCAAATGGAATTGATGGTGTTCCCTAAGGGTGGATGGAAATAGACTCATGAGAACCACAGAAGGTGAATGTACATGTCTGACACTAATTCAGTCACAACAGGTAGACTCTATACAGATACAGAACAAGCTCAAAGAGTGCACTGAATCTCTGATAACAATTCAAGATCAGTTGATTTACCTCATCCTCATCTGGATTTTATTCAAAATTAATTAAACCCTCCCTAAAGAATATAGCAGAAGTCCCTAGGGAAGATCAGGCTCCTCGTAAGGTCTCATCTCTTGACACAATCTTCAGGATAATGGGCTTTTCAGACTGAAGAATTAATTCCTTTCCTAAGGTCAGAGGGACCTGTAAACAATAAACAAGGATATTTAGCAGCAATAAATGAAACACCAACAACCACAGAAGCAAAATAGAAATGATATATTATGGAGAATAATGCTTTATAAACATATGAAAAGCACTTTTTAAATCATAATCTTAGATTCCTCATATATAGTGCCTAAATTATGTAGTAAAAGCATTCGTTTAAATGTTCAATCAGTAATCTACTGAGCACCTATTTGATAGGACGCTGAGACAAAATCATGTTGATTTGTATCCCTTATTGACTTAAAATTTAAAAGATAAGTTTTAATGACTAACCACATTTTTACACATGCAGGAAAACGTTATGATAGACTACATAAAGTTAATTTTACATTTGTTAAAATTTGCAAGGTGACCATAAATAGGTATTTGTTATACATTTTCATCTTTTGATCAGTACTCAATTCTAAAGTTTGATGCTGACCACAAAACATGCACCTATCCCTGCTGGACATCCAGAGAACTATCCCACACCCTTGCTGGCCACCATGAAGGCCACTGCACAAGGATTCAGATCCTTGTGGCAGAGGCTGACGGGGCCAGAAGGGCCCTTGATATGAGCTCTGGAAGATGAAACAGTGGTAAACAGCAGAAAGGGGGCCTCTTTGATGCTTGCTGTTGAAAATTGAAGCCCACTGGCACACTGAAGATGCAACTGACTACAGAGGTTGGTGAGCTGTTGAGGTCAGCACCTCCTACCAAACCCAGATCAGGAGAAGGGAAGCTCAAACCTACAGTAGAACCATCCAGAATTCAAACCCACAGGATGTCAAAGAGCTTGATTCCAGCCTCACAGTGAGAAACCAGGTTGAATCCAAGTGGACTATGGCTGGCTGACTGAGATTAATTAACTCAGACCTCCATATTACTGCCATGTTGTATATTGCTGACAGGAAAGACATGCCTCAAAGGTGACTTTTTTCTCTTTTCTTTTATTTTTTCTCCCCTTTTATTCTTCATTTCTCTACCTTCCTGTTTCAATTTTTTCTATTTTCTTTTTTCTTCTTTGTTCTTATTTTTATAAGCACAGGAATACACTTTCTAGTTTTCCTGTTGGTGTTAGTTTGTTCTGTTCTTGTTTCTATATCTTCCTTCTCTCTTTTCCTCCTATCTTCACCAGTTTCCCAATGTTTCATGATCTTTCTGTTTCCTCTAGCCCTACTTCTAACCTTTCATTCTCCTTCTACCTCTCTAAACACCCCCCAAACTCCTAAGTCTTTTTGCCAGAGGGTAATTTGCTATATTGAAGGGCTATTTACAGCAACTGTATTTCTGGTTAGTCCTTGATTTTGATATATAACCATAAGTCTAGTTCATGCAGTTAAAAGTGACAGATTAAGAGTTACCATAATTTGTCATTTTCTAAGCTGTTTGATGTCATTTTTGATGCTCATGGTATTACTTTGACCAAGTTAACGTGATTATTCTACTAAGTTGACCTTCCAGGTATACCAACACTGAGATTGCCTAAGGGTCATAATAGACTCAAAACCCAAAGACCAGCTATACCTGGAAGACTCCTCTGAGAAGTAGTCAATCATTCCCTAGGGGTCCTAAAGACTAGCAATAAAGATACTCACAATAAGCAATATACAAGTATCAACCAAGAAATTAAATCAAAAATATCAACAACAAAAAATAAAAATGAAAAGACATCTAAATCAGACACAAACACAGACTTCTAGCTCACCAAACAAATCCAGAGGGCAACAAGATAGAACAATCTGAAAATCAACCACCTGGTCTTCCTGAACTGAAAACAAGGGAAGTAACAGAACAGATGAACAAGGATCTAGAAAAATCAAAACAGAAAAAAATGTGCCAGACAACTAAAGAAATGGTAATCAGAATGAAAAAACATGCTTAGAGGCTCTAGAGCAGAAACTGAATCTTTAAAACATAGAGGAGCTCAGGAATATGCTTGGAACCATCAATACACAGCATAGGAAAGTAACATAATCCATGAAACAGATTCAAACAGATATACAGATTAAATATTCCACTGCAAGAAAACACAGCAGACTAAGCCAGCGTGGAAACATACTATCAGAAATAAAAGACAGGATTGTGGGCAGCAACTGTGAAAAGAGAGATTCCTTTAAAATGGCAATTTACCACAAGAAATAAAACCAGCATCTGTGACATGATGCAAAGAAGAATAATATAATATACATCAAAATCAATGAAAAAGTAGAAGATAGTACAAACAATATGTGTAAAAAACTGTTCACAAGTAACAGCAAAGAATTTCCCAAGTAGGGTCAAAGAATTGAATATACAAATGAGTGAGGAATGTAGGACTCCATCTAGCCATGATCAAAAAAAAAAAAAATCCACACCTAGGCATACAATAGTCAAGATTCCAGAAATCTACAGAACAAAATATTAAAAGGATTTAGAGAGAAGAAACAAGAAAAACCTGGAATGAAATATTTCAAGCCCTAACAGAAAACAAGCTCCAACTCAGATAGCTGTATCCTGCAAAACTGTCTTTCAAAATTGATGGATAAATAAGATACTTTCATGGCAAATAACACCTGAGGTACTTCATGGATATCATATTAGCACTCCAAAAAATTCTAAATAATATTCTTTAAAAAGACAATGAGGATCACAACTCCAAGAACCTCAACAGAATGAAGCCACCAGGCAAGGCAAGAAATCAAATGGAAAGGGAGTAAAAATAAAAAAACATAAAAATAAAAGAGTCATCATCAACCAGAAAATATGACAAAGATAAGTCAATACACATAAGTTATAAGAATCAATGTTAATGGCCTCAATTAACCAATAAAAAGAAATAGATGGGCAAAATAAATCAAGAAGCAAGATTAAACAATATGCTGCATACAAGAAACTCATTTAGGGGCCGGGGATTTGGCTCAGTGGTTCTGCCACCTGCCTCGCAAGCACAAGGACCTGAGTCCAATCCCCAGTACCAAAAAAAAATGGTATTTCAAAAAAAAGAAGCTCACTTAACACAAAATTTCATATACTGTAAGTAAAAGAAACTCCATGTAACAAAAACCCAGAAAAATCAGCAGTAGCTATTCTATTTTCAAAGTGGATTTCAAGGCAAGAAAATTAAGAGAGACAAAGAATATCATGACATTCTTCTAAAAGGAACAAATCAAGAAGAAGAGATGAAAAATCATAAATATATATATATATGCATATTTATGCACCAAATCCTAGTGTACCTAAAAATATAAAATGAGTATTAATGGATAGGACAAAATAAGCACTAATACAATAGTAGTAGGGAATGTCTACACTCCACTGTCACAAACAGATGGATGAATTTGACAAAAAAAATCAATGATGAAATACCAAAATTGAATCAAGCTTTTGAACAAATAGATTTAATAGATGTCTACAGTGTGTTCCATACCACAAAATCAGAATACACATTCTCAGCTGCATATGGGTCATTTTCCAAAATAGACCACATGCTATCTCATAGAACATGCTTAAGTAGAGGCAAAGGAATTGAAGTTATTCCCTATATATTGTCACACCACAGTGCAATGAAATTGGAGATCAATAACAAAAGGAACCACAGGAACTTCAAAATAATATGGAAATTTATTAACATCCTACTGAACAACCAATGGGTCACAGATGAAATTAAAGGAGAAATTAGACAGCTTCTACCATTAAAAGATAATGCCACTACAACACACTGGAATGTATGGGACTTAATGAAAGCAGTCCTGTGAGGGAAATTCATAGCAATGAATGCCCATTTGAGGAAAATAGAGCAAGCTCAACTAAATAACCTCATACAGAACCTCATGCTCCTAGAAAAAGAAGAGCAACACTAATCAAAGCTCATACAAGGGAAGAAATTATAAACATTAGAACAGAAATCAATGCAATGGACACTAAGAGAATGATACAAAGTATCAATGAATCACAGAGTTGGTTCTTTGAAGGACTAAATAAAATTAACTAACACTTAGCCAACCTTGTCAAAAAGAGGAAAGAAAAGGCTCACATCCATGTGATTAGGAATGACAAGTGTGCTCAACAAATTGAGCACAAATCTAGAGGATCATTACTACCTACTTTGAGAATCTATACTCCAATAAGATGGAAAAGATGGAAAAGATGGACACATTCGTAGATACATATGAATTACCAAAGTTGAACCAAGATATAAAAATTCTAAACATTCCTCTATCAAACTGTGAAATTGAAAATATGATTAAAAGTTTACCAACAAAGAAAAGCTCAGATTCTGATGGCTTCACTGATGAATAATACAAGAAATTTAGAGAAGTCCTAATGCCACTACTTCACAAACACTTTAATGAAATTGAAAGGAAACTAATATTCTCAAATTCATTTCTACAAAGAAATATTACCAAAACAGAGAAAGACCCAAAAAAGAGAACAATAGTCACATCTCCCTAATGAATGTAGACACAAAAATCTAATTGCATAGGGGCCTTCGTCAGAGCAGACCAGTGAGGACCACCCAGCTTCATGGGGAGCTCTATGTTTCCCCACTCCAGCGCCCTGGACCTTCATTGCAGCAGACCAGTGGGGACTGCCCAGCCACACAGGAGACTTGGCAGCATCCCCCATGATGCTCTCGGGCCTCCTGGTTGTGCTGGTACCTGAATCCACACTGCAGAGGCACATTTTCCAGAGCTCTAGAAGACAGAATGGAAGTGAACAATTGCAATAAAGGCACATCAGACCTTGGTAGTTGATAAGTTGGAGGGATCACCACCTTCCACCAGAACTTGAACTATCTTGAGGGGAAGGGAAGCTGGCTCCTGCAGTAGAACTGTGCAGAGTTCAACCCTGCAGAAAGTCATAGAGCTCAACTTGGGCCTTGCAGCCAGAATTCAACCTGAATCTCAGTGGGTGGGCCATTGGCTAGCAGAGAATAAATGACTTATTTCTGCACATTGCTGCTCACATTGTCTATTGTGACAGCAGAAATATACCCTAAAAGAGGCTCTTTGATA